GACATACTTTCTTAGCACAACATCACACGTTGCTTGCACCTCCCAATGACTCTTTTGATGTAAAACAGTTAATATTTGCCTCATTATCACTTTATTCAGCATTTCTCTCCCATCAGGGAGTATCCATTTTCCTTCAGACTTCATGGCTCCTGATTCCTTAAAAAATCTTTCTTTTAAAACTTTTTTTAGTTCTTTCTTAATTTTCAACAATTCCCTGAATCCTCTCTGCATTTATTCTGTTTTCCTTCAGACATTAGATGCCTTAAATACCTGACTTCTCTTTCTCCATATTGTAATTTATTTATTTATTTTTTTTTAATACTCCCAAGCCCTGCTTTCCCAGAATGTTGAATAGCTTGTTAGTAGCTTTCTTCACAACTCTTTTCTCCTGTCCTGACAATAGAAAACGATCCACATATTTGTTAACATTAATACCTCCTTGGGAGGTTGCAATTGCTCCAAAACCTTTTTTTTTTTTTTTTTTTTTTTTTTTTAGAACTTACCCAAATAGATAGGTGGCCCTGTAAACCCCTGAGGTAAAATTGTCCACCTATACTGTCGCTTCCACCCCCATTTCAGGGTCTTTCCAGTCAGAGGTGGATATACATGTATGTTTGCTCTCAGGGCCTGAGAGCACTCCATTAATAACACTGTTATTCCAGTCTAACAATTTACTATTTGAACGCCCAATTTAATCATCAAATTCCTCCTCAACAAGTTAATCCCTGCCTTGGGTACATACAATAATTACCCAGTGATCATTTTATCCCCTGGTCTCAGCTTGGTATCCCCCAAAAGTGGCACTGTTATCCCAGCCCCTTCTGCCCCCATCACTTTTTAGGGTTTCATTAGTTAATTTAATCCCTGATACTTTACAAGTCAGTAATGACCTAGCTGTTCCCCAGTGTATTGGGTTTGATGGCAAGGTTCGGGGGCTGTGAGTGGGGGGGTAGGAAACTGCAGTGGCAGCCCCCGTGAGAAAAACCCAGAAGCGTCCCCGTGGCAGGTAAGGGATAATTTCATCTGGCCCCAAAGGGGCCCACTGCTGCCCAGAGCCAAGCCATGAGCAACACAGTCCGTGCCTCTGTGAGAGCACATCCACGAAAACAAACAAAGAAACAAACAAAAACCTGCTGCTCAACAGCAGTTGGGAGAGCGAGAAACCCCTCCACAGACACCAAAGTCAGTGCAGAAGGAGGGGGAGGATGCGCCCCAGGCGCTGGAGCCGAAGCCCCCCTGCGGCCGCTGGAGAGGCCCCTGGTGGAGCAGGCTGTTCCCCCCCACCGTCCCCCTCCCCGATGCTTGGGAAACTGACCAAACACCACAGCAAATATGCAAATATACCAAAACTTCCAGACTGTTACTTAGATAATGCCTACATCATCTTTCCCTGCTCATTCAACTTCAAACAGCTCTGTTAAATACTACATGCCACACCTTTAACACCTTCAGCAACCCTTTTAACACTTCCTTTATCTTTCTCCAGCCTGTACTTTTCTAATACCAGCACCAAAGGCTCAGTCAGGGTCCAACTTAATTCCATACCTTTTCCCTCCAAGATAAACAACATATCAATATAGCATATTTCATGCCATTTTCCTTCTTTCCTCCTTCTTCCACTCCAGATATTCCTATTCGAAGTGGCCAGCCTGGCCACACTTAAAACATCTTATCAAAGCCTGTCTCTGCTAGGACTCAGGCCACAACACAGGCAGCCTTCTTTGCCTGCCATTCCTTCATCTCTCTTCCTCTCCTTTCCATCCTGGCCCTGACTCCCCCTGAAGATTTTTTCCTCTTTCTCTAACCCTCTGCTTCACTACCCGCTGCACTGTCAATACCATTAGTTTCACTTTTTTTTTTTCTTTTTTTTTTTCCTTCTTATCTCCCCTCCAGACACACGCCTCCAGGGCCTCCCACAGGAGGGTCCCCCAGTGACCATTCACTACATCCCCCCCACCTTCTAAAGCATTTTCTGCGTATTTTGCCAGGCTTTAATCACACAATGAACTTTCAAGAGCCCTTGGGATACTGGGTCCTCAGGTCTCATCCCCAAGTACTTTCTCATTCTGACCCCAAGTCTCTCATATGATTTCTGTGTTGCACACTATTATTATTCCAGCCAGGATTGGCAAGTGGGTATTTCTGCCCTGCCGGTATTACCCCTGGTCCTGGAGGATGAGCTCTTTCCCATTCTTGTATAGCAGCTCTCCTCCTGATCATTCCCATTTCTTTCCCTGTAAACAACATACTTATAGACATAATTCCCTCCCCCAAGAGTATAAGTCAGGTCGTAGGAACTGGTCTAATTGTTCAACTAGGCTGTTGGGGTCCTTGAATAAAGACTTCCTCTCCTTCTTAAAAGTTCTAACCTCTCTGCTGGTAAGGAGGGGGGGGGTAGTTCACCTAAGAGGATACACAGTTATTGTTAGTACTGTTAGTATCAGGGAAGGCAAAATTCTCAATATCTCTTCTACCTTGTTCTAATTCTTGCCAGAGCCTAGAGTACGATCCTTCTTTAGGGACAGTGTTAATTACAGCCCCTGTCTCCCTTCCTGGAGTGACTGCTGCTGTCACCAGTTCAATATTAAGATTATAGGGAGCATGACTTGGCTCCTTCTCTAAAAAAAGGAATCTTCTTGTTTACACATAAATTTAAAGCCTGAATTTTCATCAGACCCGTATTTTGGCCAAAATACTGCTGTTTCCTTAATTGGTTCTTTTGTCCAGACTGATACACAATATTTAACCTTTTTAAAATTATTTTTCTTTTACAATCCCTCTAATTTTGGGATTATGTTTCCAATTTCTTATCATTCTTCAGGAAGAACTATTAGTAGGCACTCCCCCAGGGATATCTCCCTGTCCCCTGGAACTCATATTTTCCCATCTTTCCTAAGCCTCGCCAGTATGTGCTACAGAAATTTCCCTTCTGCAGTTTACCACACACCAACGTACTGAAAGATGGGGGTGTACCGCCAAGCACTTCCCCGTGCCAGCGTTACCGCACACCTGAGTTTACCAGATTCCCTGATGTACTTCCAAGCACTTCCCTGTGCAAGGATTACCGTACACCAGATTCCCCTGGTGTAGTGCCAGCACTTCCCCATGCAAGGGCTTACCATACACCAGATACCCGACCCCCAAGGCAATACTTAATATTTCTTACCTTGGTCTGTGCACAGAGTTACCGGATCGATTCTTAAAAACCCGGAGTGCCTACCTTCTTCCTTTCCCCACTACTTCACGGATCCTGCCTCTTTAACCAGTCTCGGGCCCTCTGTCAGCTTTCCGCAGAACCGCCACCGTCGATGCACAGGACCGCTGAAATCAGCGGGGCATGCCTTCCTGCTGCTGCGGCGGTGGGGCTCCCCAGTAGTTGACTGGATCCCGGACGAGCCCCCAAATTGTGAGAAACACTCCGTAGCCAATAACTTAGGCTCAGGCGAGGATCTCAGTGAAGTAGTAATTTATTCGCGATTGCAATGGCGGGCGCCCCACAGGCAGGAGAGAGCGCATTTACTAGTTCCAAAACACAGTTTATATACCTTTTGATGGCAGGACCCTCCCCTGTTTCCCCACTGAGTGGGTAATCCAGGTTCACAATCTATCTGATGCTTCACAAACAATGCATAGTCTTCAGTTGCCAGCCTGTTAAATTTCAAATTTCTTTTGACATTTTTACTGCTTGAAGTGGTAATGTTTCTTCACTTATCTGACTTGACACTGTGATTTTCACCTAATTGTCCTAAGGAGACTGGTTGTCTGCATTTTACTAGGTCGCCTGCTAAACTTTCTTATCACTGTAAGCATATCTCAGTACCACATTCCCTCCTTCTAAACAATGTAACTCTGCAAAAACAACATTTCTATTCCCACAGGCTCAAGTTATTTTTGCCCATCCTCATATATATTGTGGTACAGCCTTACTCTTTCTATTTGGAAGAAAAAAAAAAAAAAGCCAAGTCTAGAGATGGAAATAAATGCATAACAAATGCACTGAAGGTGTGAGGACAAGCCAATCACCTAGAATTGCTACTTCTCCAAAGGACAAGCTGAAGCTTTTCTGACAGCACTATCATGAGAAAATGATAATACTAATGTCAGGGGAAGACAGCTCTCATAAGCACTTTCAATTGTTGTGTACATTCCACAAAGGAGTTTTAAAATTGCAGCCTAGTGAATTTTCAGTTATCTTACCAAGAAATCCACTACAGAAGAGTACTGATTCAGCAGAAAATCTGAGCCCAAGGCACATTCATTGACACATGCCTCTCCCAAGAACAAAAGCTGCCATGCAAGAAGAGGGAGAGAGCAGAGGTATGCATGCACATAACACCATTTACTGCTCCCTCCACTTATAATTTTCCACCAAAAAAATAAAACTCAAAAATGCAGTAATTACACCAGTAGAGATGAGTAATCAAGGTAATCAAGACGATTTTTGCAACTAAGGCAACCCAAGAGATCTCCCACAACTGAATGTGGCATTCCCCTTCAGTCTCCCTCCTCCTGAGAGCCACAGCCCACGATGCAGCGCTCACACTTTTTCCTTTCTAGTCTATTTAAATTGACAAATTCCACAAGGCAGATGTTTACTACTAGGCTTTGGTTTTGAAGCATTTTAGGCCCACTTATTTTTCATTCACATTGGTGGTAAAACAAGTTGAAATCAAGCCTAAATAAACAGATGGAAAAGAGCACATGCAGACTTGGGGACTTCTTTGTGTGCTTATACAACATATAGTTCTACATGGCGATGAGCTGTCGCTGGGCCTTCTAGACACTACCAAAACAAAAATAAATGAAGCAAAAGGATTAATTTACTTGAGCTGAAGTACATCTGGATCACAGTCAGTGACTCACTAGTGCCACATACCATCTTGCTGTGGTTTTAAAAGCTCAGGAATTAGTCAGCATGGCATAGAATCCTCCTTTCAAAAGGAAACGCGTTAAATGCTACAAAAGCTTTAATTAAGCACGCTGTAAAAACGTGAACGAACCTCAAAACCTGCAGGCCACGTCTCTAAGCCACCCCACTAGCTCTACCCTCCAGGAGCGGACGCGCAGGGAGATCCAGGGCTAGGCACCCGCCTCACAGGAAGGTCACGGGAAGGGCCGCGACAGCACGATATATAGCGATAGCGCCTGCGGGAAGGAAGCCGGGCGCCTCCCCCAGTGGCGGCAGCCCCCAGGCCGAGCGGGATAAGGCGGGCTGGGCCAAGCGATGGGGCGCACAACGCTGCCCCGCTCTCACCTGCAGAACAGCCCCTCAGTCCGCACCTGCCGCGCCCGCCGCCATTGCCCTGCCCCGCCCCGCCCCTTCCGGGGCCGTTCCCTAGGAAACGGGACGCGCAGCGGCTAGACTTCCGTGAGGCGGTGACGGCAGGGGGTGGGGGGCGCAGTTGCTAGGGCGACGCGCCGACACTCCGCCTCCGCGAGCGCCCGGCGCCGCGCAGCCTAAACAAAATAGCCGCCATTTTGTAGGCCTGGTGCTGCGTGGTCTTGACGGGCCGCGAGAGGGTGGGAGCTTGCCCCTTCCTCGCCCCTCAGCGGGGTCCCGAAGCCCGCTCAGCCCTCGCCCTATTCATCCGTGGTGTTGGGAGCCACCATAAAGTCTTTGTGGTTGTACCTGCCCCGTCTTCTGTTCAGGAAAAAGGTCCCTGATAGACAAGTAGATTAACAAGTAGATGGCGATTGCAGAGTCGTTGCCTGACAAAGCGTGCCTAGGAATTCCTGGAATGCCTAAAAAGCTTTCACCAGTGCCAAAGCTCAAGTCTTTGTGATTTAATATATCGCATGTTGATGACCATACAGCTATGGGATTTATTTTTTTTCTGTTGTTGCTGTTCTGAAGGAGTGTGTGAATGTTTCCCCGAAATGACCAAAAACGGTATTTCACAGTTAAAACTGTGTGAGAGAAATAATACCTAAAAATTTACAGCATTAGTGCCTGCGTGGAGAAGCCTGATTTATGCATACACAACTTCCAAGGTGAGAGATGATGTTAAGACACTTTACTTACTGAGGTTGATATGATCAAAACAGAACAATAGGGTGTTTCATAATGGACTCTAAAGATTGAAGGGTCTCTGAGGGAAAAATAAAGGTGAAATAAATTATTCATTCTACAAGACATTATTTATTAAAAAATAGAGCCATCAGGCAGTAGCTGAAGTAAGCAGTTTGCAATGTGTTGACATAAAACAACTGATACAAATCTATATTCCCTGAGAGCCCTAGTTCCCCATACAATCTGAGAATAATAAATATGCTTTATGATTTACCATATCATCCTATGGTGATAGATCCAGTTGCAAGGTTGCAACTACAAAAATCAGTTAAGCCTAATAATTAACATAACAGGAACAAACTGTTAGGTATTCCCTAGTTTAACTACAAAAACAGCTACAATATACTGCATATCTTCTTTCAGTCATACACAGTGGAAATTTCCTGACATCACAACACCTCTGGTAATGGGCCAGAGCATGGAACAGCCTTGACAGCTGCCTTTTAACCCAAAAGGTGTATCTGCTGGGACAACTGCTAGTAAGAAAGTAAACCTAGACCTTTTGCTTTACTATCAATCCTTTTTTGTCCCAGCATCCATCATGCCTCACGGAAAAGCTGAAAAAGTACTGCTTTTTAAATTCATCAAATAATTAAGGACAGAAACACTTGTTGTTTTGTTTTGTTTCATTTTATGGGAGACTCTTTTAGCTTAACTCAGCAGTCCTTAATCAAAGTTACAGTTTCATGGAATAAAGATCTGTTTTGCTGTCTCTGAAAATTACATCAACAGCATTACATCACAGCTGAGAGATAATAATAGATGCTCTAGTTTTTAATATTAATGCATCTCCATTTTGTAATATTCTTGTTCCAACAAGGGAAGTTGGTGAGAATTTGAAAACAGCTTACAATGCTTACTATTATTGTATCAGGAAATGCTGCACAGCATCAGCATGCTATCTTTGCAGCAGAGATCACTCCTACAATGACATTTGCGTATTTTATTTTAAGCATGAGTCAACTCATGCAAGATTACCTTTACGTTCAAAATTAAGCCTGGGTATGGGAAGGGAACCATTATTGATTTGAAAATGAATACAAAACTGAAAAAAGTAAAAAAAGTAAATAAAGAATTGAAACGTCAAAAATGCTGAATGGGACAAAGTCTTGGCAAGAAGTGATATTACCGAGGTTAATTTCCCTTTTATTATATTGTACTTTCAAGGCAATTCTCATCCAGCATATTGCATGCATAAGTGCACGCACAGTCCTCGCAACACAGTCCTCGGCATGAGTTTGAAGATAAGGACTGTCATGTTCATTTCACAGATGAGTAACCCTGATGCTTGGAAGATGATGGAAGAACATTCAACTCACAAGAAGGTTTATAGTACATAGTGCAAGAAACAGTGGTCTGCATAAATATAATGTATATATATACACACACACACACAAGCACTTCTCTACGTTTGAAAACTGATCCATGAAAGTCTGCAGACACCCACGCTTCAGGCAGAGTGCAGCATCTGTGCCACTGCTCTGCTTCTCATGTTGTTTACCTTCACCAACAGAGAGATGAAATCATAGTATAAACGGAGAGCAAAGTCCACTGCCGGGCATTACCCAACAAAGTCTCCTGTTTGACATGACAATAAAGCGTGGAGCAATATGGGATTTCTGGTTCTTTAAAAGCTCTCCGATGCGAACCCTGCTCTTTAGTGATGGCTGATCCCGACTGAATCACTCACCGTGCTGTTATCAACAGCACAGAAGGAAAACACCCAAAGTCCCGTGACCTCGCTAAACCTTTTGGGCAAGAGGTCAAGCTTCAGCGGGCATCCCTCCAACCCGTTAGCCCCTGGCTGGGCTCTCCGCGGGCCGGGTGGGGATGCCGCGTACCCCGGCTACCTCTGCCTAGCGGTGCCCCTCGGGGTGCAGCCCGCTGCTCCCCCCGTCCAACAGCCATCCCCGCCACATTTCCCATTTCACGAAGGGGCCCCTGGGCACCGAACCGCGCCAGTCGGGTGCCGCCGGTGCGAGCAGCCCCTTTAGTCCTCCACAGCACGGCTGGGTCCCCAGCGCTCCTTGCCGGCGGCGGGCCGGGGCGGGGCGGCGGGCGGACAATGGGGGCAGGCCGCGGGCCGGGGCCGGGCCCCGCTTCCCCAACGCCTGCGTGTGGCCGCGGGGCGGCGGCGGCGGCTTCTTAGTGTCGGGGGGGAGCCGAGCCGAGGTGAGCGGCGGCGGCGGCGGGGGGAGATCGGGGAGGGAGGCGAAGGGCTGGCGGGGGAGGCCGCCCCGTGAGGCGATGCTGCGGTAGCGGTGCGCCCGGTTCCCGGCGCCTGCCACCCGTGTGGAGACGCGGAGCCGGGTGCGCGTCGTTTCGCTCCTAGCGGAGCAGGAAGCGAGCCCTCGCAACAAGCCCGAAACAGACGGCTCGAGGTAAGCGCTCGGGAGTTGCCCCGGCCCCGGGCGGGAGGACCGCGGGCAGCAAGAGCCCAGGAGCACGGAGCGAAGGCAGATAGCGAGCCTGAGCCAGCGCCGGTGGGTGCCAAGGGCCCGGTACCCGGGCAGGACCGGTCCCGAAGGCGGGGGATCTGCTGCAGCGACCCCCGGGCAGGAGGATGCCCCCATCGCCCTCGGGTTTGTGCGTTTGGTGGGATTAATAAAACGCCTGGTAATTGTAACGTGTGGAAACACCGCCAGAAAGAATATTGTAGGTGGGGTGGGATTTTAAGTCGGAGCAACTTTGTTACTGTCAGCGCTTCGCCAGTATGGGAAGCTTAAGTAAAACTGAGAACGACGTGGTGTTTTAAAACTTTATACTGATGTGTGGGACAACAACAAAAAAAAGGCAGCATAAACAGTGACTTAAATTTTAGTTCTTAGACTTTCAGTTGCCTTGTACTTGCACATCAACCCTTCCCTTCACCTTTCTGATCTGACAGCAGTAAGCAGGATCTCAGATACACCTGTAGGAGAAGACCGCCAAAAGTCATGGAAGATGCAATGCTTTCTTACGAGTCCAGTAGCGTGCCCTGTTGCACAGGACAGGATGCAGGTGTGAGGTGGCAATGCATGACACCGTGTATGTCATGCTGCGCAGTGCTAAGGGGGACCAGGTGAGGGAAAACAGCAGCCCACGCTACTCGAATGCTGCTAGTTTTTTTAAGAATATGAATTATCATGTTTAAATTAACATTATTTGAGAAACTGAAGCTAAGACTAAGTATTTTTCGATTATGGCCTTGGTGATGAGCATCCTGTAAATCTGAATTTAATATCAAGGCATGAATTCCGCAATCTGCTTGCTGAGGATGCCACCAGGCTCACTGCAGATACTACACTGTTTGCATGGATGGCAGAACAAGGCCTTTCAAGTACTTTTTTTTTTTTCAATTTGAACAAATGTTAAATTTGAAATATTCCAATTTTATTGTGTAACGCTGTTAGTATGAGCAATGTGTGAAATTTTTTGACTACCAGTAACAACTTTTCTAACTGCATCACTTACTTTGTAGTTTTCAAAAATAAAAAACTACAAGGTTTTAAAGTTTTCAAATGTGAGCAAAGAAATATTTTCCATAGCTTAATAGCCCATTCATATATGACAGAACTATTTACATTTTCACACTTACCTTTTACAAATTGGTCATGTAAATCAAGTAGCAATTTTAAACAAAATCCTTTTATGTTATAAAAGTCTTGACCTGTTTCTGAGACAGAGAAGTGCAAAGGGCAGAAGATGTTTTTAAAAGGATATGTGAATGTTAGATTAAGTCAGAAAGCTTCTGCTCTAAAACTTAACTCTTTGTGAACAAGTAGAATGAAGACATCCCTGAGATGTTGGCCGCTGCCATGAAACTACAATATGAGTGTGGCAGATTTTTTTAAAGAAATTATTAATTTCAGTTTAGTATTAATATCTTTCTCTTCAATGTCCTCAGTTCTTCCCATGACTTTTTTTTTTTTTTTAATAAAAGCAGAACTTCCTCATTTCCTTCAGAATTTAGAAGCGGTTGAAGTACACTGGTGAGCACTGAAGGACTCAGTAGATACTTTGAGGAAAATGACACTTTGTAGGTTTATTAAATCATAGCTTCTACTGTGGACATAATTTCTAAGGCAGAAACCTTTTGTTGCTTTCTGCAGTTGCATAATAAATGTCCCAGTAGGGACTGGTGCTCTCAGAGTGCTCTTAATGACAATATGCAAATTCTGATGATGCATAAAAATCTG